CTCTCTCGTGTTAGCTGCAGTATATATAAAATCTCAATTCATAAACTAAGCTTTTTCTTTAAAACTCACCCCGTCTTCATTAGCCCAGTCAGTGCAGAAAAGTAGGACTTTAAACCCCATTTCATTTTGTACTCACTTGTATGATATGATTTCCTGGTGTCAGGGCGGTATATATATTTGGTTTATGGATAAAATTTACGGCACCAACTAAACCAAGATTCCAATCTTTACATAATCATCCATGTCTGGAAATAACACGAATAATATCAAGGATACAGTCTGTGGTTAATCTGCACAAGCCCATGCATGTGTTCGAAATTCCAAATAACGACGTCACACATAAAACCGATTCGATATAGGTTTATGTTAATATCGTCCCAACTCACTAACACAATTCAATTTTCGATCTGTTTACCCCTGTTTTTACAAGTAGACTCTCTCTGTTAGTTCCTCATCAACTTAACCTGGTTAAATGAAAATACCAAACCCTATTATTGAACGGAAATTACACTATTCCATCTAAACTGTCCTTGACAAATATCCGCCATTTTCATTCCGGGCTGAAAAAAAATAGAAATAAAAACAACTTTATAAAACGAAAATTATCGATGGACAAAAATTGACTATTGTTTAAAATCATAAACATATCATCACACACCAAGTCATAAAATAACACGATTATGTTTAAAATATCAGATTTGTTAAACATACATTAAACATACATTGCGGGTCTTTTTTAGGCCTAAAAAATGTTTTATTAACTATTATTTAGACATTTATTAACATGAAAAGGCCTTAATCAACTCTCGATGGCGTCTTATGTGTCGGGTTGTCACTTGAGTTGAATGTGATCTGCTGCTCAATGCTCATTCATGATTAAATAATAAAAAAATGGATAATCGAGACTATGTTTTTTTTATCGTACCGACTTCAGTAATGATGCACGAGGCTATGTCGAAAAATTCATCGCTAACATCTCGGTCCAGAGTGGATAATTTGACTGAAATTTTGAGCTTATTCCGTTTACATTATCTAGTTTTTAACTATAATAGAGAGAACTGCCAGCTCTTAATTACTAATTTATTTTTAGAGTTTTTTTAATCGCTCACCGAAGTGTACACATCCCCTGAACTAGCAGGTATTTCTCTGAGCTTCATTAGCCCAGTCGGTGCAGAAAATTAGGACGTTAAACGCCATTGCATTTCATTTTTTAATTATTCCATAGTTAATCAACCACAAATTTAAAAAAAAAATTTAAACGCTAAACGAAGTGTATACACCCCTTTAATTGTAGATGCCTTTCTGAACTTCACCAGCGTACAGGTGAACTAAATTAAATCTTATTTTTACAGACTGTGTTGTAATTTGCTTGTCTTTATTTAACAAGAGAACGTAATTCGACTAATGAGCAAACCTTAATAAGTCTTGAAGAAAACTCCTTGGAATAAAGTTCAAGCTTCTAATGTACTGAAACTTCTAAACAGAATGAAAACGTAAGATGTCGCCTCGTGTATTAAAGATATAGGGGAAGGGTAAAATAGCCTGTCACCTGGTAGACTAATAGATTCCCATGTATTGACACCCATCTCCATATATCTTCTTGGGATATTTTCATCTGAAATCCGTTCTCATTAGTAACAATACTCCGATATTTGCGCACACGTTTAACTCGTACGTCAGACTAATGTTCTACTCGGTAATTAAATAATCTGTTTTCTTTTGATTTCGTTCCACTAAACAGTTCCCGGACCAAATAATCCCGTACAACTATCATCAATTTACTTGACTAATGAAGTCTACATGTTATTGCCTCGTGTTAAATTACTCAATTTAACAATGTATAACGTACCTGTAGACGGCGTCTACATCCAGCAACTCAACCGCTCACGCAAATTGTAATTTTATCAAAACTGCAACGCAAGTAGATGGACTTGACGGGTGCGTTGTGTTCTTGTTGGTGAGCTTCCGTTTACCTATTTAGCCTGTAAAGAACTCATCGATACGGACATCACATTACTTTTAATACGACAGAATACGAGAGCAAAAGAAAGTTTAATTAGAGAAGAAGCGTGATGGAGAAATTTAGCTGACATGAAAAGCGAATTTAAGAGAAGAATTCATATCAAAAACCGACGATAGTTAATTTAATTCGTCTATTTACTCATTCATCTTCTGCCACGGAAGTAAAAAGAAGCGAAATTAACCCTCTAATGGCTTTTATTATCAAGATATTCAGTAGATTATTATCACATTATAAATCCAAGGAAGGAACTTTTAAATGAAAAATGGATCGAATTTCGTTTAAAGTAGCTTAGCTTTTTTCTTTATATTCCGATTTTCATGTTATTAGCGTTTGGTCCAATTTCAATTTTTGATGAATTTCGTGTTGTTTGCCTACCTCGTTACGTGTTTGTCAGTGAAAGATTTTGATTGGATTTTATGTTATTGGTACTTACATGTATAATTAATTTGATTAGGATTTCACCCTGCGTAGCTTGTGTGAAACACTATTGTTTTTGTTAAGATTTTTTCTTCTTATTATTTTTTTTTTCACTTGAGCATATCTCAAAAATTACTTGTCGGATCTATTCGATGTCTTCGGTTTGGGCCATTTCGATTAATAGGTGACAAAGTGTGTAAACAAAAAGTCATTTAAAACCCATCCAGCGTCTTCATATTTTAAAATATTTCTTCGTTACTTTAATAAACTCGTAGAAATAACCCATACGAAGAGAATATAGGTCAAAATAAGTCTGCAATATAAGCAGTTGCCGAGAAATAAGAAATTTAGCATAAGTCACTTTTCACGTTATTTTGCCTGTAAAAGAATCAATTATTATTCGATTTTCAATTTTCTTTCATCATTTGATGCCTAATGCCACTATCGACTAGGCCAAATCCTTTTAACGTTTTCACTGTCACCGGAAATGACGTCATTTGCCAAAAAACGATTTTTTAACCTTCAAAACAAATATTTTATTCAAATCAGTCGTACTTTTTATTTGTTTAAAATAATAAACAAATAGAATGAACCCATACGATCATAACTTGTACGGTTGCAGAGAAATAGACGATTTTCTGCAAGTCACTTTTCTATGCTTTTGGTCTATAAAAGTGTCAATTATTATTGGATTTTCATAAAAATTTTCACCATGGGATGCCTTAGGCCATTTCTGATTTTAAAAAGCTAATTTCACATTTTCATTCAAATCGCAAGTAATGTCATTTTAGAAAAATCTGTATTTTTAGCCTCCAAAACAACTATTTGTTTGGAGTAAGTGATATTGAATATTCATATAAAACTATGCTATTTGTTTTTAAGGGACAGCTAGTATGAATCGATACGATCATATAGATATCAAAAAAATGTTTCTAACGTCTTCTCGCGATGAGAAATAACCATTTGTGTCAGTATCACTATCTAAGATTTTTCGCATTTTAATCAGGTGTTATAAAGGGTTAATTCTGTTTAAATTTTAATCAATTTTCTATCATGCAGAGGACAGTCGAAGTGGTTATTTCTGCTTCCCAATTTAATTGGGGTTTTTTGATAACGGAAGTGAGGTCATCGTGTCGAATCTATGTTGTATAAATGGAACTGATATTGGAGGATTTATTTGCCAATTCTGCGTCGATTTTATAGCACGTGTCCAAGGCTCGTCTGGAAATCTGTTTTACGTTTAAATTGGTACGGGAAGTGATAGCAGTTCAAGGATATAGTTGGCACTGGAGGGGGATCACGTGGCTATGTGGGTAAGACGCTGGCTCGCTAGCCTGGAGGTCAGGTGTTCGATCCCTGCATTGGCCGAGACAGTTCATCCAGATTTTTCGGCGTGGTTCCCCCTTGTCAGTGATGCAGGACGGCGGGCCTGACAAGGACAGCTCTCTAGTCGTTCGGATGGGACGAAAAAACCGAGGTCCCGTGTACACATTCGCGTGCACGTAAAAGATCCCATGACAGTTTGAATTCGATTTAAGAGTAGACCATAGTGCCGCTGTCCGGGCAAAATTTCCCTCATAGCACACCGCCACACTGTGTGGCGTATGCCCGTCTCCATTAGCCCAGTTCGCAGCAGAACAGTAGGACGTTAAACCCCATTTCATTTCATTTCATTTCAGTTGGCACCGGTGAAACCCGTCATTGCTGCATTGCAGTTCTAGTTTTGATACTGTTTTGGTAGTCAAACAATTTTCGATTATAAAATCTGTTGAGGCACACCCATAAAAACATATCAAATTGGAAAGAAGCCATATATAAATATAATTTGATGTTCTCCGTCAGATTCTGATTTCTTAAATTAAAGAAAAAAAAAAATTAAAGAAATGCGTAAATTATATAGAACATATAAATCATTAAATGGCCTTCGTATTGATATCCGTTTACATCTGCGCCAGCCGATGGTCTAGAGAGAGTTGATTATAGGCTTGTCATGTGAATAAATGTCTAAATGATAATTTATATAACATTTGAAGCCAAAATAGAAACCTGCAATAGGTAGATTTAGCTCTTACATAATACATCATTAGGAAACCTATGGAAAATTGCCTATGTGTTATTATAGTTTACCCTTATTTACAAATAAGATAGAGAGAGAAAAATGGGGTTTAACGTCCACACGACACAAACCAGGTCATTTCGGGACTAACACATGGTTCAATTTTTTTCCATAATTCGCTTGCGCGTAGGGGTCTTTAGCAGTGGGAGGAAACCGGAGGACCCGGAGAAAACCCACGAAGCTGGACAGGCGACCCTACTCCTTGTCACGTACAACCGGGGAACCGAAACCCCGTACAAATAAGATAATATAATAAAAATACATAAGTAGGCTAATAAGTTACATTTTAAAATGTATATTGTCTAATTTAGTGTTCGTTTTATATTTTAGTGTTTAGCATATTTATCCTTCATATATGGTGTCGGGGGGTTGGATGGAAGAATTGTTAGCACTGTTAGCGCTGTATCATAAGGTCTGTCATGATACATTTCATTGTCATTTCAGGCGAATGTTTCCGACAGTTCGAGTTTCTTTTACTGGTTTAGAACCGGATCAGAAGTACCTGGTGTTGATGGATATAGTTCCGGTAGATAACAAAAGATATCGCTACGCCTATCATCGTTCATCATGGTTAGTCGCCGGAAAGGCTGATCCAGCACTTCCGGCACGGTTCCACCTTCACCCAGATTCTCCGTTCACTGGTGACCAACTTCAGAAACAGACCGTGTCCTTTGAAAAGTTGAAATTGACCAATAATGTTCTCGATAAGACGGGTCATGTAAGTAGTTTGCTTGGTCTTGTTTTTTTTAGATTTCACTCCTTGCTTGTTTCTTTCGGAAGGGTTCTCGAGTGGTATAATGTGTGAGCTTTAAATCATAAAGGCCCGTCTTTGAGTCAAGTGACGTTGTACGTGGCAGAGAGTGGGGTCACCTGCCGAACTTTGTGGGGTATTTTTTCAGGTCCATGATTTTAGTGCTTAGCCAATGAAAAACATGGTGCAGTAAGGGCAAACAAAAACATGGTACAGTAAGGGCAAGCTAAAAAAAAACATTTCTAAGGTTACCTGACCGACTATATTTTTTTTTTTTTTTTAGACGAAATCGGCCACCCTAAACATTTTTCGGTCATTTCCCAGGCCTTATTACCTAGTCTTGGCGTGAGATCATGAACCTTGCTCAGTAATTAAGCTAGAAATGCTAGGAAAAGATAATAGAAAAAAAAATAATAATAATAAAATGAAAATATTTGGGGGGTCGAAGACCTACCCTATTTTGGAGGGGGGGGGGGCAAGTAACCATAAACACGGGTATTTGTTTTCTTGACCTAATGCTGCAGTGTAAAGGAGTTGCGAATGTGCGAAATTGAAGGTTACTATTTGGAATCTGATATTATATCCGAAATGACTTCTCCATTGAAACCAGGAATAAAGCTTTACTAGCTAACTGAAACCGGTTGACTGGAACCAGGAATTACTAGCTAACTGGAACCCTAGAACCAAGAATTAAATATTACTAGTTAACTGGAACCCTGGAATCAGGAATTATTAGCTAACTGAAATCAGTTGCCTGAAACCAGAAATTACTAACTAACTGAAACCGGTTAACTGGAACCAGGAATTACCACCTAACTGAAACCACTTGACTGGAACCAGGAAGTAATTATTACTAGTTAACTGAAACCAGGAATTACTAGTTAACTGAAACCGGTTGACTGGAACACGGAATTAGGTATTACTAGCTTACTGAAACCAATTGACTCAGTTAACCTTAATATTTACCAAAGCTCCTACATGTATCCAAAAAAAGAAAAATATTATATTTTTATTGACAAATTCTCTGTATTTACTCGGTGTATATAGCTGATATTTAAGATATTATAAATATGAATTATAGAATATATAGATAGATGTCCCAGACAGGGGATAATTCAAATCTAAATTGTATTAATATCAATAACGACAGGATTCAGACTGTGAGAGTGACAACCATACTTACGTTCAGGAGAGAGAAACGAGTTTTAAGTCCATGCGACACGAACTAGGTCATTTCGGGAGTAACAACGTTCTATTTTATTTTATAATTTACTTGTGCGTAGGGGTCTTTCTCTTTAGCAGTGCTAGGAAACCTAAGGACCAAGTGAAACCCCTGCTCGCAGGTAAATTGTTGAAATAAAATTAAACCATATGTTAGTCCCGAAATGGCGTTGTTTGTGTCGAGTGGACGTTAAATCTCATTTCTCTCTACCCTTTTCTCTTTTTTTTCAAATTATGAATCAAAACATCCGTTTGTTGCACTTTTGCATAGTTGGAATTAATTCCAACTGAAATATTAAATTCAAAACTATAATTTGTTAATAGAAACACCTTGAATAAGAAAGAAAAAAATCATTTCTAATAATCTCAGAATTCAATGATTCTGGAATTGGAGGTTTGTGTTGATCTGGTAAAATATGAAAAAATTAACTCTAAATGTACAACCAAATTTAATTGAATAGATTCTAGAATTGGATGTTTGTGTCCTCGAAAATGTTAATCTGAGAAAATATGCTCAAATTAACTCTAAATGTACAACCAAATTGAATTGAATAGATTTTAGAATTGGATATTAGTGTCGTCGAAAATGCTAATCTGAGAAAATATAATCAAATTAACTCTAGATATACAACCAAATTAAAAAAAATAAAAATTGGCGCCCCTTAAACATATTAACATTTATACACACAGTTGTTGATATGGTTTTTCAATGTACTCTTAGTTTCCGCCAGACATTGGCTAATCCACACGAAACAGCCAGGCTACTCGTTTAAAGAAAAAATAAGATTTCATCTGAAATTCCAATATCAGTTTAAAAGTAATTAATTAAGAAATCGATGAGTTTGATGTATATAAATCGACGATGTCACGTACAAATTGAATAACATTAATATCATATATTTTAATACATCAAAGATGGTTAAGATTCTTCCGCCAATCGATCGCTAATCTCCGTACCTACAATAAGCCCATAAAACATATCACAATAAGTTACCAAGGATGTACAAAGGATCAAACGGTCTAACCCATTGGCCGAACATCAAGGGAAAAAACTTAAGTCTTCCAAGCCATTGATTTTTAAGGCCAGACATGATTTTTTTTTCCTGACGTTTTTGCTTTAAAGATTTCCTTAATACCTAGTAATCCACCCGCTTGAAATCCTTAAAAATAATGTTGTAAGCGTCACCACGGGTATTCCCTGTTTTTCTAGCTAGTCATGCGATTTTTTATCTCTAATTTCTTGAATTTCTTTTCGCAATCCCCCCGAATTAAACCAAAATGTAATTCAAGAATAAGGAAAATCGCACGAGTGTGCAAATCGTGCTTGGCAACTCGTGTAACGGATTTGGTCACTTTGGAACTGATCAGACAAGTCTTGGTGAAAACGATAGTATTTCAAAGTGAGAGTTAAGTCCCCCTGGAGCTCCTGAGATAGAAATTCGTCCACTTGACCCAAAGCTTCAGACAACCATATTTCACAAAGGCGTTGACTCTCATCCAGTTAAGTGTTAAAATATCGAAATAAACCGTCTGAGAAAAGCACATAAATCTCTGCCATCGAATTCCTCCAAGTCTTAACCGAACACTTCGCTTGTTATCTTTCTGTTAGAATAAACAGGTTTCAGGGAAGAAAATGGCCTTGTTGAAAATCAAAACAGCCAATTTATTAGTGTTATATTAATGAATGTTTGTTTTTTTTTCTGTTTTTTTTAGACAATAGTCAACTCCATGCATAAATACCAGCCTCGTATTCATATCATGAAGAAACAAAAGGACACTGAACTTCCGGTGACGTCATTAGAAGGACAAGAAGTAAAGACGTTCTCTTTCCCAGAAACAATATTTATCGGTGTGACGGCATACCAAAATCAGTTGGTAAATATTTATTTTCACATTTTATTTATTTTAAATTAATCACAATTATTAAAAAGGCCTTCGCGATTTTTGTTTAAAGAGAGAGAGAGAAATGGGGTTTAACGTCCACTCGACACAAACTAGGTCATTTCGGGACTAACACATGGTTTAATTTTATTTACATAATTCGCTTGCGCGTAGGGGATTTTAGCAGTGGGAGGAAACCGGAGATTTTTGTTTAAATCATTCTCATTAATATACATATTTAATTTCGTTTCGTTTTTTTATAATTCGTAAAACCAGAATTAATTGGTAAATATTGAATTTCACGTCGTTTGGATTTAAATTAAATCCGAATTATTTGAGGGCCCTTGACATTAAATATCTTCAAGAATTTGATTATCTCTGATTAAAATACAGATCTATATTTCGTTTCGTTTTTTATGCGTCCAGCAGCTCCCATTAGTGAAGGCAAATAAAACGAAATTTTGAACTATAAAAAACGAAATGGAATCAGATTTTGTTTAAATCTACCTTAAGGGCATAATTGGTCAATATTATTTTTAATCGGAAAGTGTGATAATTGGAAAGAACAAATATCTAGTAATCCTTAAATAAATTATTACACCGCGTGCACTAATCAGCATGACGTTGCCCTAGCTTAGCGAGTGTATTACGCACCCGTTCTTCGGTAACGCCAGCGCGTCCATTCATCGCCTTGCAAGTGTAGTTTATAATAGCGGCTACACTAAAAGTGTTCAAAAAAGTTTCGCTGGAATAAGGTATTTCGAAAGATATAATTGGATTTTTTTGGTAACAAATATACTTTTCATGGTAGTTTGAGTATGTTTTCAAATCGTTGATTAAGATCGTGACTGTCGAGGAAATATAATAATTGATTTATCCACATGCCGCCATTTTTAAAAATTAAACGATGCAACTAATTTAGGTAACCCAACGATTAATCTGAGCTTTTACTAATCAAGTTACAAAATATTTTTTAATGCTCACGTGCGAGATCAGTTTGACATGTCAGCAGGGTCGAGCATGGTCGGCAATTGGCCATTGGCCCACGAGTATCTCAGGGGTTGGGGGGCGTCACTGAAACTAATTTATCGCGCAGGGTACGATTGACCAATAGGCATGGTAGGCAATTGACCTAGGGCCCATGGGTATCGGGACGGGGGGGGGGGGGCACTGAAACGAATTTATCGCGCGGAGTGCCAGCGTATAATCTTGTTTCAACATTTCTGGAAATTTGAGTTTGGCCTAAGGCCCACGAGAATGTCCTACCTTGTATGTCTGCTAGGAGGCGTGATATGTACTGTGATAATTAGTCGAAAGGTGTAATTAGTATACTGATGATATAGGCGTAATAGGTGAGAGAGAGAAATGGGGTTTAACGTCCACTCGACACAACCCAGGTCATTTCGGGACTAACATATGGTTTAATTTTATTTCAATAATTTGCTTGGGCGTAGAGGTCTTTAGCAGTGGGAGGAAACCGGAGGACCCGGAGAAAACCCACGACACGTACAACCGGGGATTCGAAACCACGCCATTTGACTCATTGACAGGCCTTATGATACAGCGCGCACGGCCGCACGTGATAACCATTCGGCCATCCAACCCCCCGGCGTAATAGGTACTGTGATAATTAATACATAGGTATAATTAGTAAATATACTGACGATATAAGTAATTATCTTGTCATAGTGTATACCATTGTACTAATAATTACTAAGATGCTGTGCGGATACAATCACAGGGGGTGTACTTGTATACAGTTCTACAAACTTTCTCACGGATAATCTTTTCACGAGTGCCATCTGGCTTGACACCGTCTACAAGTTCTGTGGATTTCAATCGCGGAGAGAAATTTACGAGGTTGGGTATCAGTAAGGTCGTGCTCCCCTATGTGCTGAGGTTTTCATGGAAACCCCGTGACTTTAATCACTACATAACAGCACACCTTCGCTAATTTACACATTCTTAACTCTTCGGTTATTTATGCTTAACATTTCTCTAACCCTCCATTAGCCGTATCTTCATTGTTTCTCAACGCCTCCAGTCCACTCTCAACCTGCCAAACAACAAAGTTTCACTAATTTGGCTATACGATCGTAAATTGCTTTTAGTAACAGAAGTTTGCATCTGGTGGGTCATCGCCTATTGAATAAATCAGTTGTGGTCTTTGTGTTCTCGGTTCTTTTGTCTTCACATATTGTATCTGGTTGTGGGTTCTTATCTTCTTAATTACGTGTTTGACTTATCAACGAACCAATTCTTAGTGATAGAAACTTGACGTGCTGTTTTTAATGAGCAGCATGGTCCATATATTCACTCTCTGTGTTGGCTTTTTATGACATTCCTGGCGCTCTTTAGCATTTCGTATTGAAGTACAAATCAAACTCAATCGATTCTAATCAGTGATCAATATACACAAAATCCAATGGACGAAATCTTAGTTATAGAAACTTGAACTGCTGTATTTAATGAGCAACATGGTACATATACACGAAATGAAATGAAATGATGAAATGAAATGGGGTTTAACGTTCTACTGTTCTGCTCCTATACTGGGCTAATGAAGATGGGCATACGCCATACAGTGTGCTATGAGGGAAATTTTGCTCAGACAGCGGCACTACGGCCTACTCTTATATCGAATTCCAACTGTCAATGGATCTTTACGTGCACGCCAATGTGTACACGGTACCTCGGTTTTCCGTACCATCGGAACGACTAGACAGCTGTCCGTGTCAGACCCTCCGTCCAGTATCACTGGCAGGAGGGAATTTGCCTGGGAAATTCACTTGGATAAACGTTTTTCTTTGAAATTTCAATATTTGAAAACTCGTTCTTCTTTCAGGACAATTAGCTGACTTCTGCTTAAACTCGTAAACCTCGTTTTTATCGGAAGATATTATATTTCTCATGTCCAAAATAATTGATAGATTTTCGCATTTAATCATAATTAAGTCATTTGTTCGAGCCATAAACCTATGAAATTTCTAATGACCCGGGAAAATATAATTTTATAGACTAAAATTGCGCAATAAACCCACAAAAAATAAACTAAGTTAACTATTACAAAGATTCAGCCATTTTGGCTGTCCCGTTATGCCAGCGCTTATTACAAATGTAATTTATGTATTTTGGATCGTAGTTGCCTAAGGGAAGAAAATCATTTAATAGTTTTGAATTTCCTTTGTTTATTGGTTTATATACCTATACTAAATCAATTCTTGTCAACTTATCCATTGTTTATTATAGAAGAAGGTCTAATTATAAATGAAATGAAATGGGGTTTGACGTCCTACTGTTCTGCTCCGACTGGGCTAATGAACACGAGCATATGAGATACAGTGTGGTACGAAGACAATTTTGCCCGGACAGTGGTACTACGACCTACTCTTATATCGAATTCCAACTGACAAGGGTCTAATTAAAAGATGAAGGCTGATATGTTGAAATACGCACCAGTGCCAGGGCTCTGTTTCTCGAAATCTTAATTAAAGATAACATCCAAATTTTAGTAGATACTTCAAGTTTGATTGGCTAACCACTAAAATCAATCTAATATTATCCAATCAAATTACTAAAATTTGGATCTTATCTTATTTATAATATCGTGAAACAGGCTCCAAGTCTTTATTAAACTCGTTACTTAAATGCGGTTACTGCCCGTCGCAAAGTTTTCTTGCTTGATAATATTTTTAGACATTTGTTAAAACTAAATAACCGTTTATTTTATTTTATTTTTTTAGATTACCAAGCTAAAGATTGATAGTAATCCATTTGCTAAAGGATTTAGAGATTCCACAAGATTAACAGATTTTGACAGGTAATTTTTAAATTTTCAAAATTTCGTTTTAAATAAATGAAACGAAATATAGATCAGTATTTTAATTGGATGGGCATCATTGTATATTTTGATTAATATTAAATCTAGCCTATTAAATCTAGCGCAATATCCACGCACAGGCCTACTCAAAGCGCAGTCCACGACCACAGCGCAATAAATCTAGCGCAATATCCACGCACAGGCCTACTCAAAGCGCAGTCCACGACCACAGCTGTCGCAAAGTGAATACTTTTTTAACGTTGATAAAAATAAACAAATACGTCGTAAATTATTTCTTCTCCATAATTATTATTTATATGCGATTATTGTTTCGTGTTGATAAAAATAACAAAAATATATCGTGAAATATTATTTTTTGTTGATTGCAGAGAAACTATGGAATCGTTAATACAGAGTCACTCGTACGCCAGATCACCATTACGTGCACTACACGGCTCAGATATGGATGACGGTAGAGATAAAGGTGAATGCTATTTAATATTTTTTAACTGTTATTATGTACCGAGACTAAATCTTACATGCTTTTTTTATATTTTCATCGATAAATAATCGATAAATAAAAAAATCTGACTGATAAATCGATTTAACCTGTGCTCAAATCTAATACTGACATTTTCTGTTATTTCAGATTACAGTTCAATGTCGTTATCATACATGACCCCATGGCGTATGCCTCCTGCGGCATTACATCCGGTGCTTGACAAATCACAGCTTTCGTTATATACACAGTTGGTAAATCACGTGTATAATGGAGATACCCAATCAGCGGCCACGTTAAATGAAATGTTGATCAGAAGTTCTTTATACCAGAATTATCTACGTAGTGCGCATGCCCAGTCAGGGGGATCCTATTCGCATGGACTCTACCGATACCATCCATACACACCCAGCGATAAGTCTCGATCACCCGAGACTTGAAAATCAATCGTATTCATCGGCATCATCGTCATATTTATTCTAATTCCATTTGTACATTCTCTAACGATAACGTAGGAATACATATAACTGAGTCATTCGGCCTACCCCGTTACGAGAATATCGGACTACTTCTATCAACATGTCCGGTGATATTTTATTTGGATTTCGTAAAACGAAACCTTTGAATCGGTTTTCAAGCTGTACGAATGAGCTCACTTTATGGCCATATTGTATTGACCAACTGCAGGGGAAACTGGAAATAAACACCATCTGGATTGTTATCAGGGTGTTCCGGTACATGTAAGCCCATAGCATCAAGGCATTCGATTTGAAGCCCTGTATTATTAAGTTTATAAAGAAAGGTTTATCATACCAAAGTTTAAGCATAAAGGGGCTATAATAAAAAGTTTATAAAGCAATGGATATTAAAATATGTATATATAATAATGTATATAATATGTAAGCTTTAAGTGTGCGATTTGTTCAACTGTGATATACAACTCATTTAACCGAGTCGCAATGGTGGATCCAGGTTGGGGCGGGGTTGGTTCTTTGGAAAGCAGCCCCCCCCCCCCTAAATCATATTTAAAAAGTCACCTATTATTATGTGTGTATGAAATGTGTAAATTTATGCTTTTTGTTGGTGTGGGTGATGGGAGAGCGATTTGTTTTCTTATTTGTGGGGTTCGCCCCACCCCAATGTCCACCCTCCCCCGCCCCTAACCAAATATCCCGAGTCCAGCACTGCCAAATTGTATATAGACAATTTATATAATGCCATCACCAACCAAAGAATGATGATTGAGATAAAAGTACACCATCTTCGACACCTTTTTTATATTATATAATGTCATAACGAACTAAAGCAAAGGAGACTGAGGGGGCTTAGTATACCATCTTCGACATCCCATAGATTTTATATATGTCTTTAGCAACCAAAGAAAATTAATTGAGCTAGAACTAAGTACACGTTCTTCGACTTTAAACATTATGTTTTAAAGTCGTCATAAATTTACAAATATACATACAAATATTAAAACTCAAACAATTTTTGTTTTTATTTCCTGTGGAGTCCGATAATACGACAAAATGTCTGACCTTTCAGTATTAGCATTACTTACATGTAAGTAACATTATCACTCGTACTCAGATGGAATACACCAGTGCAATATTAAAATATTGTTGTACCAAAATTGTTTTTACCTATGCCATTCTCTATTCTTCTAGAAGCCAGAGCTTAGAGGGGCATTTGGTAAGAATAGATAAAGAGCTGACATTTCTCACTATAATAATTAAAAAATAAAAAATGAAAACAGAATATGCAGAAAGTTTCAGTCAAATTACTTCTCTTTGAGCCTTGTGCCTCGTTATTGCCGGAAGAAGAATAGTGTAGCATTGATTGTCATTGCTTCCGTTGTTACGGTATGAAACGAAGTCTCGATTATCCATTTTACGGTTATAACATCAACCGCCAAACGTATTTATATCTATTGAATATCTAGACAATACGATGGCATCAAAAGTTCATTATGGACTTAGTAAGTTCATTAGTGTCTAATTAATAATTTATATAACATTTAGGGCCTAAAGAAAGACCTGCAATGGGCATAATTCCTGTTTAAGGAATGGGTTTTAGGTCAAGGTAATTTAAAAAGGGACTTTTAGTTTTTCAGAGTCGGGTTGGCAAAAATCTGGAATGGGAAATCCATCCAGCTATGGGCACGTTATAGGCATTCGTAATTATCGTATAATCAATCAAGAGAGATAAATAGGATTTAAATCCACTCGACACAAACTAGGTCATTTCGGGACTAACATGGTTCAATTGTATTTAAATAATGGAGGAAACCGGGGTCCCAGAGAAAACCAACGAGATTGGACAGGCGACTCTTCTTCTGTCACGTAAAAGCGGAGAAACCACGCCAATTGACAGCCCTTATGATCTAATGTGCACGCATAAAACCATTCAGCCACCCAACCCCTCTAAAACAAAGGTACAACCAAATTTATCTTCTATGTGAAGTTTCCAAATTAATGAGCAGTAGATATTGTCAAAGGGACAGGCATACCCTGGTTGTTCATTGTTATATAGTTGATTTGTACATTGTGAATTGTTACTATACTTAAATGTTATTGTCCATTTAGTGCATTTAATGTTGTTTTTTCTGACATAAAACATTCCCTGAAATGAAATGAAGTTTACTTTTTGTACTCTGTTGTACAAGTCACCATCTGTGGTATGGAGGGGGCGGGGGGGGGGGGCGTGCTCTAATATTGGGGTTACTGCCTACTCTTATGTCGATTTTCGACTTTCTGTATATAGAAGCGTTATTAACGTTTCAGGCGCCGCCATTGATATACATTAAACCTCAAGTTTTCGTGCCATTTGCATTGCTGTCCCTCCACCACCACTGACAAGGGGTACAAGGCTGAAATATCCGGTAGAACTTTCTTGACCAATACTGGGATCGAACCCGCGACAGCCTGATTGGTGAGCTAGCACTACACCCACTGGCATCAACCCCTAAAATACGAGCTACCGTCTGTATTGGTTTGACTGTTAACAATGCAGACGGGTGGTACCGTACCCTTTGTTGCTTGCGACCCCATTCCAGAAACCAGTATCTGATCGCGACTCCTCTAAGAACAAAGGCACTCAGGTAAATCATATCCTCATCCCGATGAGCGGGGGAATCCCCTAAAACTAGTTTCACTTTCCGGATCAAAATGTTGTAATGGGAGACTGATGAGGCAAATCGTCGACGTGAGGGGGGCAAGACGATTGTCAATGTGGCAAGAGGTGTATAGATCACAGATTCACACCTGTCATACACACAAAGACTAAATAAACTTTTTCAGTTTTATTAAACGGAAGCAGAATAAATACTAAGAGATAAAGACAGAGAAATGAGGTTTACCGTCCACTCGACACAAGCTATGTCATTTCGGGACTAACATTTGGTTCAATTTTATTTCAATGATTCGCTTGCGCGTAGGTGCCTTTAGCAATGGGAGGAAACCGGGGGACCCGAATAAAACCCACGAGGTTGGAAGAATAGAACCTTAACAAAACTCCCAATGTATACTTATTGTTTTGGACTAAAATCGTCGATTTCAAACATAAAATGTCGGTCAACTATCTCCAGCGGAGTTAACCTGGAGACAGAGAGCCTAGTATGTGCTATAGTAACTGAATAATTGAAATTTGAATTTGAAATTGAGTTTAACGTCCTACTTTTCTGCACCAACAAGTTCATAAAGACGGTATTAAACCGGAACAGAAAGATGGTAATGGTCTAGCAAATGCACTCCCCACATTCTGATCCGCGCCTATTACAAATAACGGGTAGCCGCTGTTAGCTAGTGTCTAGTCGTTCGGATGGAACGAACAACCGAGGTCCCGTGTACACATTGTCATGCACTAAAGAACCCTTGCCAATTAGAATTCGAAATAAGAGTAGACCACAGCACCGCTGTCCGGGCAAAATGTCGCTCATGGCACACTGTATGATGTATGCCCATCTTCATTGGCTCATTCGGTACAGAAAAGTGGGACTTTAAACCCCATTCTATTTCATTTTATTTCCTACATTGTATAGATGTAAAACAATCTAAACCCGTCGGTCTATCAGCGTGTGTGGTTCCCCCTTGTCAGTGATGCAGGACGGAGGGCCTGACAAGGACAGCTGTCTAGTCCTTCGGATGAGATGAAAAACCGAGGTCCCGTTTATACATTGGAATGCACGTAAAAGATCCCTTGGCAGTTGGAATTCGATATAAGAGTTGGCGATAGTGCCGCTGCCCGGGCAAAATTTCCCGCATAGCACACTGTATGGCGTATGCCCATCTTCATTAGCCCATTCGGTACAGAAAAGTGGGACTTTAAACCCCACTTCATTTCATTTCATTTCATACATTGTATAGATGTAAAACAATCTAAACCCGTCGGTCTATCAGCGTGTGAAACCTAACACAATGTACCAGTGTAGATTGACGGTGGTTTTAAACAGTTCTTCAGATTGAGTGATAACTATACATAAGATCGTCTTATTTCTATATCTGTTAAACAAACACGGCTACGACCCTTAGTCGGCATCCGAGTGACGACCCAAAACACTGGTTCTATTATCTCTTCCTGGTGTTGGCGGCGATGGGAAGGAGCAAACTAGTCGAACGCCAGACAACAGTAAATTTTGAGAAAACATCTCTAAGGGCAGTAGAAGAATGCAGGAATTGTTGAAAATCACAAAGAAGTATTTTATCGCCTTAAAACTCTAATCATGCTATGACAAATTCCGATAAGTTGAAGAAGAATGTTATCAGGAAATAAAGAAGCTAGCTAACTCAACGTAGACCCATCAACGCCACAGTCGAGATACGCCAGCAACTTTACTCGCTAAATTCACTATAAGTTCTCGTTGGCGTTGACGGGTTTGGATAAGGGTTGCTCGATTCAGTTGATTTGAATGTCCTTATCAGTAGAAAATGGCTGATACCGTCACCGTTAAGCAATTACTCATCTACGTCTTCTTGGTAATCATCCGACATATTTTATATTTATTTAACTTCAGTATTTTACTGATAAAAGTTTTCAATGTCTTCTACAGCATAGTTTGCGGCACAGTTGAATCATATACCACTTCTACTGAATAGTTATATACGTTGTATGTCGAAAGATTTTATGACCTTTTTTAACTTTCCCTGCTGAAAGATACAATCACTTTAATACTTTATTTGGTAGCGTTTTGGGAGAGAGAGAGAGAGAGAGAGAGAGAGAGAGAGAAAATGGGGTTGAACGTTCTACTGTTCTGCTCCTACTGGCCACGGGCATACGCCATACAGTGTGCTATAAGGGAAAATTTGCCCGGGCAGCGGCACTATGGCCTATTCTTATATCGAATTCCAACTGCCAGGGGATCTTTTACTTGCACGCCAAAATATACATGGGACCTCGGTTTTTGTCCCATTCGAACGACTAGACAGCTATCCTTGACAGGCCCTCCGTCCTGCACCACTGATAAGGGGAAAGCACGTCGGAAAATTCCGATGAACTTTCTCAGTCAATGCAGGGATCAAACCCGCGACCTCAAGGCTATCGAGTCAGTGTCTTACCCCCTTACCCACCGCGGCTCCGTTGAAAGAGAGAGAGAGAGAGAGGGAGAGAGAGGGGTAACCTCCACTTGACACAAACTAGGTCATTTCGGGACTAAAATATGGCTCAATTTTATTTCAATATTTCGCTTGCGCATAGGGGCCTTTACTCTACTTTCCATCACTGAGCATTTTCGGCCAACACCGGGATCGAACACATTACCTCCGGGTGAGCGAACCAACTCTTTACTCACTAAACCACCGCGGCTTACCTTTGTTTTTGTGACAGTGACAAGGGGAAACACATTTTGTACACAGAGCTCCACCTACTTCATACTTCGAGAATAGATCTCTGCCCTAAATGGCCGCCATATCCAGAAATTAGTATACTGTTTTGTAATGTGGCTCTACTCCTTTTCGCATCTGTCATACACACAAGAGAGAGAGAGAGAAATGGGGTTTAACGTCCACTCGACACAAACTAGGTCATTTCGGGACTAACATATGGTTTAATTTTATTTCAATAATTCGCTTGCGCGTAGGGGTCTTTAGCAGTGGGAGGAAACCGGAGGACCCGGAGAAAACCCACGAGGTTGGACAGGCGACCCTACTCCTTGTCACGTACAACCGGGGATTCGAAACCACGCCAGTTGACTCAATGACAGGCCTTATGATACAGCGCGAGCGTGCTAACCATTCGGCCACCCAACCCCCCCGTCATACACACAAAGACTAAATAAACTTTTTCAATTTTCGATTCTCGAAATATACTTAGTGTTTTCGACTAAAAGGGTCGATTTTGGACTTAAAATGTCGGTCAACTAGCTTAGTGTTTGTTCTCAAGCGGAGCTAACTTGCTGTAGACAGACAGTGTATGTTTAGAATGGGGGGAACCACGTCGGAAACTCCCGGGGAACCAACTACCAATAAGGACCCCCAAATCGTGATTATTTTTAGAAACATTAATAATTAGGTTATAGCGATTGCCAGATCTTCATACTATTACAATATTCCTTAAGAGCGATGCTATAGGCTGATTTCATATGAATATATCCGGCCTGATTACACGGTTCAAGCCAAATTATCGCCGATTGCCAAGACGAAGGGGTATTGAACTAAAAAATGTCTTTGGAATTATTAATAGAGCCTGAATCCTCGGGTTCGATGCATCAAATGACACAATACCAGAGTGACATTATCTTTACACCGTGTTAATTCCTGTTTATTGAGATAGAAGTTGGCCAAACTAAAAATATCTCACCGAATAACATTCCCACATCATTCTTATTCATTTGTATTTTGTGAAATGTCGAAGAAAATTAACACACAACAGAGTCGACTATAATTCTGCCATTTATAAAGAAACGGTTATAAAAAACCCATAAATCTTATCCAGAAACAAGCAATAAGACTGCATGCTTGTGTTTTATTATTAACACAGATAAACTGTACGTGCATTAACACGCCCGTCGCCCCGGAATTACTATAACTTTAAGAGAATCAGGAAGTGTAGACTTCCAGCAAGACGTATTATCACTACGTTTTTATATTATTGTAAATGGTTTGCATTCCTTACACCACAATAAAATTTGATAAGAAAAAACAGAAACGGAAAACGAAGACTATGACATTAACGTGTTGACATGAGCGACCGTTTTACGGCAAGATGGCGGTCGATATACTGGGTGGTCTGATCTATGGTTAGTCTCTACTTGTCGTTTTCTATATAAACGGACCAGTCAAATAGTAAACCGTGTAGTCGAATAACATCTTCACGTTTTCTCAGTTTTACAAATCTACTTGGTTTAGTTATCGTTTGCTTTGGCATTTGGAATAAATCTTAAGTGCCCCCTGTAATGAAATCATTTCGATAAACATATTAGTAGATAAATTGTTTCAATGCCATTTAGTAATGGAACTGGAAGTACACAGGGCATAAAGTGTGCTTATTCCTGGACGACGTTTCTATAATGAATTTCTTGAGTATCTTTGTATAATTATGTCCATGTATGTATCCTTTGTTTGTTTCATGTATATTTCTATTATTTTATGTGTATATGCACATAACCTTGTAAGTTTTTTTTATGC